AGCGCCTGGTCGATATCATCTGTGAAAAGATGTCTGAGAGCTTGGACGCCGGAGATCCCGCCGTCACAGGGGCCAAACAGGGGCCCCAGCTGACAGAGCAGCCCGCTCCTCCTCACCAGGACTGTGCATGTTAAAGCTGACTACTCCCCCAAAACCCTTTTCCTCCCTCTCTCTCTTTGTCCTCCTTCAACTGGACCCCAGGGCCTCTGGTCCATACTCCATCACCCTTCTCACTCACTTCCCTGCTTCTTTCTGTAACTTAGTAAGGATATTGGCTGAGGGGAGCCAAGAACCAGGTTGAAAAGTGTCTGAAATGCTCTGAGGTGTTTATGGAACAGTGCTTGGGGTGTGTTTGCTTCTGGTTCTTTCTCAAAAAGGAGCTAAAAGGTGTGCGGGTGTTGGTCTGATGCCAAAGCCAGTTCAATTAAACCAGAGTGTTTCAGACTCTTTGCAGCCCAGGTTCTTGAAGTTTTCCCGACCCATCTTCCGTTGTCTCCTTGTTCCTCAGTGTGTTTTTACAAGAAGGATTTGACGGCGTCCGTCCTCAGAGTGCCATTTAAATCCTTCCGATGTTTACAGTACTTTGTTTCATGTCAGTCAAATGTCTTGAAAAGATGTCAGCCTCGGATACGGTGACCAAGAAGGCCACAGTGGAGTTAATGAAGGAGCTGATATCTGCTCCATACTGATGTGTTACATCTCTTATACGATTCTGGATACACACAGGATCAAACATACATGGATCTGTGTTTCATTTGTTGTCTCACCTGGTATCTAAACATGGATTTATCAAGTGTTTTGTTTTCATTATCCATCTGAGCCTTTTCATTTGGCCTTTTTTATGTTTTTACATTTCTTTTTTTGTATTCTGGTGCCCCATTTATTCTTTTCATACATACAACACTGAGTGAGGAAAATATGAACAAGAGCTAGGTAAAAAAAAATAGCAAAAACATTAAGAGACACATTTTATTTAATTATATTTATTTCAAATGTACATATAAATGTTGTGCAATATATATAATATCTACAGGTATGCATTTCTGGAAATGAATTTTAAAAGGAATGAAGTTCTATGAGGATAGTATCAAATATAAGAGGTCTATGTTGTAGGGTTTGTTTGGATGATGTGTGGCAGCTCCTGCTGTGAGTCGTTTCATTTCCCCCGTCGGTTTGGTCTTATGCTGCTTTCCTGAGATGTTGCAAAGTCAGAAATTCAAACTTCTTGCTAAGAAAAATGCAGTGAAATAATTACCCTTTGAGTCTGAATTACAAGTTGGATATTTACCAATGTGTTTATCACCCTCCAAATCCCCTCAGTGTGATTTGCAGCACTGCTGCTAATAAAGGGAAACATCTTAAAATGGCTCCAATATTAGAGGAAGACGCTTGCTTGAGAAACTTTGTGCTGCGTCATAAATGTTGTTTTAAGCCAGACAATGGCCGTAGTGAAGTTGACATCAGAAGTTTTTTAAAATGATCAAACAATTTGAGTCTTCAGAAAGCTCAGACTAATCTAAGTTTAGCAATAACATTGTAAGTAGGGTGGTAAATTATTTGATGCTTCTTGTCCCAACGACCTCAAGGTGTTACTGCCACTGCTGTCACTAACAGACAATGTAAAAATGTAAAGATATTTGTGCAACACAATTTATGCTCGCTAACAATGCTACATATTGATATTACAGTATTTTACATCGGGCGGAGAGAAAGTCCTGCTGGTGTTTGTGAAGCACTGAGGTTGAAATTATGTCATTATAAAAGCTGATATATAGACTGACAGAGTTTTCATCTCCCTGATAGCTGTTCGTATAATCACAGCTAATTTATCAAATATCCTCAAACAACTGATAATTCTCTAAAACATGATGGAATAAGTTGAGAGGATGAAAATCCTGTTGTTTTGTTGGATCATTTTTATGGTATTTTGCCTTTATCTGATAGTTTGAGGGAGTGAAAGGAAGAAACATCTGGAGAGAATTGGATGACATACAGTAGACGGCAAGCGGAAACAGGTACGTTGCTGTTACAGAGATCGCTTGGCCACTAGGACACAGGTTTAAGTTTTAACATCACTGAAACTACTGACAGTTTCTTACTGATTAATGAAACATTTATTGACAGTACAGCAACTATACAGGAACTTGTCTTGCTGGTGGTGAGGCTTTGTTGCTGTTTGGATGTTAGTTTGCACTGAAGGAGACTGTATCCAGGCTCAGACCTGTAATGTGTTCACATGTTTGAGTTTAAATGCACATTTGATGGTACTGGAAAGACTAGATTGCAATATCATTAGTCATTTATGTGCTTATCTCTTTTATATCCCTGAACCTGCAGGACTGTTAGGTCAAGCTACATGCCAACACTCAGTGATTGAACATTTTTCTTGCTTAGTGACAAACGCCCTTAGTAAGACGTCTTCAGAATAAGTATCACAGAGTCTGTTTGTGTGTAATGTTATCTCCAATGCTCAGTCTTCAGGTGAAGTAACAACCATCAAACAGCTGGAGGCTGAAATGTTCATGTAGCTGCTGAGTATCTAACGCTACTTTTGAGTCAATACAGGAATTAAATGATCTGCTCTGCGGTTCTGCGCTGTGTAACCACACTGCACTTTCTGCTGACAGCTGTTTTTATGTCTACATAGCTTTACTCCCTCTGGGCGAACATCATCTCCCCTCAGAAAGTGTTAGTTTTAATACAGTTTCCACAGTTTAAACTGGTTTGCCGGGTATTCCTTCTTTTCACTTCACCAAAGATTGCTGTAGAAGCAGCTCCCTGTTTTTGCTGTAGGATGCCAGAAGGAGCAGTTTGACCAGTTTAAAACTGTAATAAAACGAGTGCTTCATGGTGGAAGTGAATTCTGGTCATTCAGATCATCATTTTATGTCATTGTTTTTACAGGATTGTTGGTGTTTCTAGTAAAAACAGATAAGGAGGATGGCAGCTATGGATTGGGGCGGGCAAAACACTATAAAAAATCATTGTGGTGGTCAAAATCATTAACTTCATAGAGTCATGTGACTTTGACGCAATATTTAAAGCAAATATGAGTCAAAAAGCATTTATTTTGAGTAACTGTTACATCAGTCAGCTGTCAAGTGTAGCATACGAACCTGAAATCACAGACGAGCCACTGACTATTAACGCTTGAGTTCCTATCAGAAAGGGAGCGATGATCACGACAAACCTGGGAGACGTTTTTCTGATCCTGCGTATATATATTTTACTTCTTACTGGTTGTGACTGTTTTCTTTTTCCGGTAAAAATCCAAACTTTTAAACTGTTCTCCTTTCTAATATGTCTTCCTCTCTATATAAACCAGATCTGTAAATACTGTACCTTTGAGTCATATGTGTGGATTGTGTTGTATCGACTCAGGCTTGCAACAACAAAAAAAAAAAAAAAACAACAAGGAGAAAAAATAAAGAGGAAAAAAGTCAACAGCATCAGTAAAAAAAAAACTAAAACCCCCCAAAAGAGCCACGTTGTACTGTATCTTTATTCATTTCTAGGCTTGCTTGTGAACGAATGTGTCACTCTGTTACAAAGCAATACACACGACAGTATGTACACAGTAAAAGAAATGCCATCCAGCTTGGTAGAGGTTGCAGACTTTACATCTTCTACTAGCACGCAGAAACATGTACTTTATTTGGTCTCGTATCACTGCCTCTTCAAGTCCTCCTCAGTTTGGGCCATTTAAGATGAGAGAAAATGCTGTGGATGTTTTTATCTGTACTTTGTGGTAAAACAATAAAAAGTTACTAACAATCAGCTGATTCTTGTTTTTGAAGAGTTTGTTCTGTTACCTGCTGCGTCTCACTAATAACTCAAAAACCATAAAGAAAAACATCTGCTGCATTGTGCATTATTTAATCCAGACAGTAAAGTTAAGAGAAGCTGCTTCTTGGCTCAACAGCCTCAAGATGTCACTGTTTCACTTCTTGCTGGAGGACAAAAAAATATGCTGTGCAACAAGCAACAGCTTCCTCTTCTTTAAAGGTCCGGTGTGTAACATTTAGGAGGATCTATTGGAGGAAATGGAATATAATATTATATTATAGGTGTGTTTTTATCAGTGTGTAATCACCTGAATATAGGAATATAGGGGAAAAACAACAACATACCTGATCTGTTATATAAATGCAAAACAGCATATGAAAATGAGTCTGCAGGTTTTGCCGTTCTAATTTCCTTAAACAGGAGCTTCCTGCTCATCATATGTGGGCGACACTGATTGGCTACTATCAAAAGGCACAGACAGAATGGCAGCTAATATTTTATTCTAACCCTGATCTTAAGGATCCCTTCATAGATGTGCAGTGGATTTGTCCAATGATAACATTACATTGTAAGGAACCTACAATTCCTCCCTGCTGCGGAGTCAATAATAACTCAAATAAATCCTAATCAATCAATCCTCACACAGTAAGCTGATGTCTGCTCAATGCGAATTATATATAAATTATTGTTATTTTGTTGTTGAGCTCTTCAAAATTACTTCTGGATGTCAGAAACTGTCCCAAAATGTCCCTTCAACCTTTAGAGCGTCAACACCGCCTGCAATTCCCCAATTAACCACCAGAGGGAGAAAGATACCAGGTATGATGCTGATTTCTGGACACACACCTTTAAAATCCTGTTATTACATAATTTCACTAATTAAGTCTTCATCTTCATATCATTATAAAGATATTTGATTGATTTTTAGTTGTAGTCAATTGTGTGTTGGCACTCCCATAGCCCACCATATACTTTCTTACTGTCATTAGGCCAATATTAGTTAATATCTTAATAAAAAAAGCATTGATGAAACTTAAAATGGTCTTAAAATGAGTAGTTTCACTAAGTCTTGAATATGACAATTCCTTTATGGAGCAGCACCTGTAGGTCTTTACCACCCATTCACCAACAGCTGGTTTAATGTTGCACACAATGATTTAAAAGACTTGTATTTTTGCTAACATGCAAGCAAATGAGAGTTTTCCAGCCGAAAATTGAAGGAAACAGTGTTTATTGCCAGCAGCATTTAATTCAGAACACAGCGGCATACAGCCAAATATCTGTAGGCTAGAGGTGACAGCAACAGTCAGTGCAACACAAAGGTTACCACTCTTCACATTAAAACATGAACACACTGAAATAGGGACACAGTAATGTATAAAATAGAGAAATACATGTGTGTTTGTAAATGTCAAGGATAATAAACACTGATTAATTGCACCCTTTGACACCCATCTGTGGGCAACATTCGAGTATGTCAACAACATGCAGATTATTCCCTACAGAAATACATGGTAAAATTGTCCATATATGTTGTGATTGACTCTTTTTTTTATATGAAATGTGGGTGTGTGCATTTGTACAGCCTATTCTCTATATATTAAGCTGTGTCATAAATGTGCATATTACTGTAGAAATATTAATAAATCCGTTTGGTCCAGGTTTGAGACTGCATACTGACAGTCTGTAAACATTTTTACAGGGGAAAAAACAAATCTAGATATGTGCCTTCTGTCATTAAATGTGAGCATATAGCCCCGATAGGTGCCTCGTTCTCTCGTCAGGAAAGCACATGGCCAAATTGCATTTAAGAAAAAAGCAGTTTAACGTTGCTTTGCGTACCAGTTAATGTATATACAAGGTAGAACAGGATTTCATACATTGAACATATTAAAGGCATACGCTCTTCGGTTCGGCATTAATCCAATAAACGAAAAGGCGAATATTTATTAAAAAATCCACTGATTAATACTGCATCCTCTCCATCGGGCGGAGGATGACAGCAATGTGGATCGTGGAAATTGCTTCTTATTTTAAAAAATAAAAATGCAATTCACATTATCTGATGGACTCTCATCAACCAATATCCAAAAGCGTGTTCTACCAGGTATATTTATATTTTTGCCGATACTCAAAGCCACTTAAACAGCCGATTATTAACGTACAATTTGGCCTATGTGGCCTGGCACACACCCCTGGGGCTACGCTACATGCAGACCAAAAAAAAACAAACCCATTATTAAAGTCCATGAAGCTTATATGCTGGTCAGTAAGCCCATCTTGTATGTCTGTCCTTCCACTAGTGCACTTGAACTTCGTGTGGCAGCAGCTGGCAGCCGCTGTTGACATGGGTGAGGACTTTCTGTTTCAGCTGGGCCACCTGCTCCCTCAGCAGGCTCGCCGTCGAGGCCAGATCTGTGTTGTGGCTTTTCAGCGTTTTGACCTTGTCCTCCAGCCTGGAGATGCGCTCCAGTTTGCGCATCCGACACTTGGAGGCTGCGATCCGGTTCCTGAGCCTCTTCCTCTCGGCTTTCATGCGCTCCTGTGAGTCAATCTCGATGGGGGACAGCGGCGGGCTCTCCCCGAAGCTCTGCACGTCGGGGACCGTCTGTGGCTCCTCCTTTAGCGGCTGGACCCGAGAGAGTTCCGGCTGCGGCGGGGCTGCCCCCAAATGATGCGACGGAGGAGGCGGGAAAGGGACAGTGTCTGTGGAGTAGTTGACGGTGGTTTCCAGCGGCCCGCTGCCGTAACTGTTCAAGTTTGTGTACACCGGTAGATCCGGCTGCACGGTGACCGGAGCGATGTTAGCGCCCAGCTCCAGGCTGCTGTTCGTCTGCGCGGCTCCGCTCAGCTGATTCTGCTTGTGCAGATCCTCCAGCGCCTTCACGAAGCCCTCGGCGAACTCCTGCTCGTCCGTTACCGTCTTCGGGTAGAGGAACTGGGAGCTGGTGGGCGTCGTGGTGACCATCCCGTTGGACTGGATGATTAGCCTCTCCAGCTCAGGGGAGGCCAGCTTGAGGAGCCCCAGGTCCGGGGAGCTGAGGATGCTCTCGGCGTCGCGGAGATGCGGTTTGAGGTCCGCCTCGTCCGCCAGGCTCAAGTTAATATCCTTCTTCATCATTATTTCCGTGTTCAACAACGACCAATCGATCTTGTTTGTCGCTCCCTCAGTACGGAGCCCGGCCCATAACCTCCCAGAAACGGACTGTAGTGTTTTAAATATCTGGTGTTTTTATATGAACGGTACAACTCTGTAACCGCTGCAACCGTTGGTCTTCCGCTCGCGAGCTCGGCTCTGACTGTACTGGCTGCCCGCGCGCACCGCCGCCAGCTTTTCTAGTCTCGCACGTTCCATTATGTCACACCAGTGTGCGCGCGCATTGGGCAGAAATTAACGTTTTCCAGATTTTTTATTTTGATATAAAAAATAAAAAGAAAACCCGCCAGAGAGGAGGAGACGAGGGAGAGGTCTCACCCTGCGCAGCTTTCTGTGTCCTAGAAACAGAAGGCATATTGTTCATAATCAGTTGTTGGGATTATTAATTACCTGTTAAAAGATATAGTGATCAACCTAATCCAAGTATGACTGTAATAAAGTAACATCATTTGACTACTTTGGGATTATTTCAACGCCAAATATGTAAATAAAAAGAAATGAAATGTCAATAAAATGTGTTGATGTAATTTTGTTCTCTATTCTAAAACAACAGAGCAATAAAACCTAAAATGGAAATGAAAAGAAAATTGAAAACTGAGAGATTTTTAGCATCAAGAAACACTGATGCATTTTAATCCTGCTAAATAATCCCCATTTGTACTAATTGTAACTGTAATCTGATTACGTCTGTTTTTAACTGTAATGGATTACTGTTACCCTTTTTTGTATCCTGATTACGTTACATGTAATCTTTCTTGAAAAGTATTTGTACATTATGCCCATTCATGTTTAACGTAAATGAATATTTTTTAACACTGGAGATGTTTTTTATTTTATTTATTTATTTTGCCTTATCTTGTTTTTGCTTCTTTATTTAGTACATAAAGGACATTCTGTATGTAAATGTTGGGTCATAAAAACTGTAATTAGTTGACACACAATCAAAGACAAAATGAGTATAAACACAATGTACCAATAAAATAACTGAAGCGTTATTTTTCAGGAAGTCCATCAATGACCATCCAACATCTTGTCAAAGTCCTTGGGGTTTTCTTTTATTGCAAATGTAGATTTTTCCACAGAAAGGAAAACTTAATTTTCCTTTTCACCCACCGGCTGAGAGAAGGTTTTTTTTTGTGGGTTTTTCCCAAAACAAACTATAAATGGCACGCACAGGGATAATAAAATATAACATATTCTTTACATACAGTTACAAACACAAAGGAAACATACCTTTCCGAATATGATGGATCGATGATATGTGAGAAGTTGTTGAAAAAGTAATATTTGATAAATTAGTGTTTCATAGGTCAAGAAGGAACTTTCACTCTCTACCGAGTGATTCATTGTCTCAATAAATGATCTTTGGTACCAGCTCTATTGCCATGGAGAGGAGGGAGAAACTACAAACACTGAGCTGGTACATTGATGTTTGATGCCATGGTGAGTATTGTGTCTCGTTTACATGTAAATAATCACAAATATTACATAAATATATGAATTTTCTTTCAATATTAGAACAGAATGATTATTGCTAAACAGCAGGAAACGGACATTTCAGCTTGCATAATTCTGGAGAAAAGTTGATGACTGCTGTTTTATGTTCTCACACTTGTTGTGTTCCTGCACAACGGAATTAGGAGAAGTTGAATCTGAAACTAATCTGATTTCAACACTTCCTCTGGTCATTTAACAGTTTTTTAAAGTTGTTTTTTTTTGGGGGGTTGGACCTCGTCTCACACTCATCACACCCTTCCACAGAAAAAGGCAAATGATAATGTCAAGTATAGTTTCTATGACAGATATTTCCAATTTCACTTCCCTTTTTAAAAAAAAACAAAAAAAACAGATATCCAGATATTCTAATTAGAGTATTTTAATTGCCCTATTTAACAATTAATGTCTTGATTAACTAGTAGAAGTAAAATATTGCCACTGTCTCTTTTAAGTGTATTTATTCTCTGTGGATGAGCACTTCTCATAATTAAAAGCTCTGTTTGTCCATTTCTGGTACATTTTTATCAGGATTTCCTCTCCTACCAAAGTCAACAGACTCAATTTAAGTTTTCTGACTATAATTTTATCACATTTTTGCCACATTACAACTTCAGCACACTGTAAACGTACTCTGGAAATACTGTTGTGATGTTTCCTCGGGTATTAACATAATCAGCCATTGAACCTTGCGGATGAATTCTTCTATTGAAATAAATAATGTAACAAACTAATGTGACATGTCTGTGTTTGATTTCCTCCCTTATTCATGTGATGTTTTGTGTCCAAATACAGATACAAACAGCAGTCAGCCAATCAATTTATTAAGCTTAAAGATTTAATAATGAAATCAATATCCAAAAGTATTTGGGGGCAAAATCAGGGAATAATTGCCCTTTTGTTTTCTCCATTAACAATCAGTGCTCTGGCTCTTAAAGGGTTACACAGAGGGGGTATGTGCGTCACAGGTAGGCCCCATCCATCACTGCAACGCTTCCTGTGGGTGGATCACATGATGGACCCTGTGATGTCAGATCTCTTAGCATGGTGGCGGAAATGGAGGTGGTGAAGAGAGAGAGGGGGGGTAAACCAACAGAGGAGAGATATTTTTGTCTATCAGTGTAGAGACAGAGAGAGGGGGGGGGGTGCAGTAGCAGTAAAAGGATGTAACACACACACACAAAAATACACAACACATTCTTTCATTCTCCTTCCTTTTTAATTTATAACACACCCAAAGCAAAACGTGAGCTAACTGCTGCAAAGACTTAAACAAGACAAATTTGCTCCGTGTGCATACATTTCAAAATAATTGTAATTGTCAGTGAATTGTCCCACAGTTTGTCTAATCAATGTGTAAAATGAAGGCCTGGGAGGGTTCAGCCTGACTTTGGTGTTGAACCATATGAAGCATCATTGGCGGAGCTATTGGGGGGAGGTTAGGGTATCTTCTGGGCTCCGAAGCCCCAAAGTAATATTATAACTTTGTGTAATTTCCTGTCAATCTCTCTGACTGAACCGCAAATCTATTAGAGAAATATCACCATCTCATGTGTTAAGTCCGCCCTCACATATGTGTGTGTGTTTTTGTTTGTAATACCACTGCAGTATGAACAATCATATCAGCATTCATGTGACTTTTTTACGTCACTCTAGATCGACATCTATCTCGAAGGTCGCTTCAGGGCTGTGACCACACTGGAATCTGATTAGAGTCACGTTCAGAAAATAAAAGACAGTTAAACAAAAAAACAAACAAAGCAGATGTGAGCATTAAATTGGAATTGGGGCAACTTGAAGTGTGAATGTAGCTTTAGTCATCATCGATATTTGTTGGTTACAGGAGGATGAAGAAAATTGGAGAACAATTAGATGCATAAACTGATTTAGCTAACTATTACCTCAAATGGTTTGAAAACAGAGAGTATAGCTGCTCTAATTTGGGGAAAATGCATGGAGAGCATAGGAAGCAAGTTTAAGTAATAAGGACATTTGACTATGAAAACATTGTGGTGGATCAATCAGTATTAGGATCCATAGTAACCTACGTAACACAGCGACTGTTGTTCATGAAGATCACAACTTACAAGTTACTGTTTGCTATTCAACAAAAAACAGAATAAGAAAGCTTGACAAAAACCAAAGAAACAACAATATTCAATGGGCTTAAAGATGAAGAAATATGTTTGTTATATGTTTGCGCTGCATTCTCTCCTGACGTGATAACGTTAAGTTTTCCGGATACAAAAACACTCCGTACGTAGCCTTTTTAGTGTGTCCTACTGTAATAATGTGTGTCATGTGACAGATAAATGTTCTAAATTCTTCCAACATGAGTCAACACGATGAGCTGACGAGTAAACTCAGGCCCTCCGGCAATAATTTTTTTTTTTATGAGTGACTGGGTTAATGCTGCATGTCAGTGTGCAGTGGGAATGAGCTCTCAGGAATTCTTGGCATCAGTTGGAACGGTGAAATTTACTCCGTGCCACGGCACAGAGGAGATCAGGAATGTTTTGTTCTGAATTGAGCAACATGTGGTTGATGTGTGGTTTTGTACCTGAGGCCCTTTAAAGTTATTAAACAGAAACAAGCATCCATTGTCTGTTGGGAGACAGAAACTTTAATGGTTGACTTAGTTTCACCTTCATGTCTATTTCTAAAGCTAACTGAAGTGATATGTTGTTTCTCTGGCAACTGATTTGACAAGCCGTATACTATAGATGTAATTGAATATTTATTTAACTATAGATAAATGTCTTGTCTTGATCCAACAATTAAGGTGGCTGAACGGCAGGTTTGTGACTTTATGTGTGCTCAAAAATAAAACACAACCTTATCTTAGATCTCATTTATTTTTGCAGCATTTATCTTTCACACAATCATTCTGGATTTATTTATTTATTTAAAAAATATAAATGAATATATTATATATACAAATTTTAAATAAAAATAAAAAATAAAGTTCAGATCATGAAATACCTAAAATGTTAAACATAAAGGGTTCTGTGGTTGGTAAACATGGTGGGAGCAGTGCGTTGTGTCACTGTATGGACTTTTTTGCTATGACTCACCCCTTTAAAGGGACAAAAATGGGATTTTGGTTCGACATATTGCTTTAGGATTCATTTAATTTTAGGGATGCTTTAAGATTAATAAATTTATTTTTTTTTTTTTTTTTCTGTTTTAATTTAGCACATTGGGTTCAGTCAATTAAGTAAATAATGACAAGTAGGCACACGTAGCTTTTTTGTGTGAATGCCACAAACCTGCTCCACTGGGTCTGATGACGTAGTTTCAAAGCGTACGTAGGAGAAGTTCCACATTCATGGAGGACGTAAGAGTGTGTGTGTGTGTGTGTGTGTGTGTGTGTGTGTGTGTGTGTAGGTGTGCGTGTGTGTGTTTGCACACAAAGACACACCGACAATTTCACACACTTAACCACAAAACCTTACCATGCCTACACCTTTTCATGGTTCGACATTAGCTGTTGTAGAAAAATAGACAAAAGCATCCGGTGTTTGATTAATACGTTTTTCCATAGTATGTTGCTAAAATATATGCATGTGTTTCTGGTATAGAGGAATATCACACCCTATTCTTAACTCATATTTACATATTTACACATATTTATACATTCACACTGTCTCGTTTACCTCTTGGTATTTTGTATAATATAAATTCATCATAACT